TATACAGGCCAGTAACACCCTCCTCACATCAACCTCTGTCAACAACGACTTCATCTGTAGGTAAGACATGTTTTCTATACAGGCCAGTAACACCCTCCTCACATCAAGCTCTGTCAACAACGACTTCATCTGTAGGTAAGACATGTTTTCCAAACAGGCCAGTAACACCCTCCTCACATCAAACCTCTGTCAACAACGACTTCATCTGTACATGTAGGTAAGACATGTTTTCTATACAGGCCAGTAACACCCTCCTCACATCAAGCTCTGTCAACAACGACTTCATCTGTAGGTAAGCCTTTTTTACCAAACAGGGCATGTTTTTAAGCCTGGGAAGTGAGGAAAGTCATGCAAAATACCTTTCCCAAGGGCACAACATCAGCGACATGACTAGAGTTGGTGACATACATGACAGAATTCGAACCCGGGACCTCTTGGTCCTGAGCTTAACTCCGTTCCATTATGCCACACGACCCTGCCTTCCAATACCGTGCTCTAGACACATTGGATTAACAACCCACTATGCCCCTATGGCATGAAAAAGGCTGTGGGACTACAACATACCTTTATCTTTTAACCAACACAAAACACCCTTGTTATGTCATGTGACTTGTGTTGACCTTTTAACCTCTTGCACTTTTAACCTCTTGGTCACGTGACTGCTGTCAACAGTTGCAGAAGAAAGATTGTGGCTGTCATCTGAAAGATTCTATGTTTTTGCCTATTAAGTCGTGCATATCAGCCTAAATCCTTCTTTATGAAACATGCACCTTTCAATGTTCCCCAGGTTGTTGAAGACCTCGTACAAGCTGAAGCTCCTGGACCTGAGAGGATGTTCAAACATCAGCACGGCAGGACTGCAGAGTCTGCCTGTCACCTGTCTGGAACTCTTCTTCATCTCCAACACCAGCAATATACAGTACAGCTATGAAGGGATAGAAGTCATCATACAAAAGGTAGAAACTCCTTTGTTCTTCTTGTAAAAAAGTTTATTTTATTCATTTTGATATAATAATTATAAACAGGGCTCGAAATACCGGGTGCATGTGCACCTTAGTGCACCCAAATATTTTTGTAGGTATTTTTGTACATATTAAATGTATACAGTAATACTAGATATTCTTGGCATCCATGTGTCAGAAAATCTTTGTAGTAGTACTTGTTTAAAGTACAAGATTTTGAAGTAGAAGAGGAGCAGAAGAGGAGCAGTAAGATCTGTAATTAGTTTTTGTTTTATATGGTGCACCCAAAAATTTTCCTGTGCAACTAATTTTTTGGGTTGGGTGCACCAGTGCACCTATTCCCAAAAATGAATTTCGAGCCCTGATAAATAATATTCATTTATTGTTTTCGCCCATGTTTCTTTTTCTTCAGATTCAACTTTTTCATTTTGGAAAAATGATGTTAAATTTGGTATGAAGGTAGACTGGGCAGATAAACTTTTATTTTAAATGTAATCCGGTTGATCCCCACAGTGTCAGCACAGCCTTGTAGAGGTGGACCTGTCCTGGAATCTGTATGAAGACACAAACCTGGACAGAACTCTGAGGAAACTGTCCTCCTGCCGAGCCAGCTCCCAGCTGAAGGTGTTGAGTCTGAGTGGGACGTGTGTGACTTCAGACATGGTCAGGTCAGGTGCCACTTATTTACATAATATTATAATTTAAACACAAGCACTTTAGCTAGAAGAGGGATAAATCTCTCTGAGTACTCTAGCGGACAATTGAGTACTCAGCAGTTGTCTTTGGATTAGGCATTGTTCTCCCAAATTCTACATGTATCTCAGATCTCTTGCAGTCTCTTACAGGTCTCTTTTTTACGACTGTTTTCTTTCATAATTTTCCATTGTTTGAAAAGTCTATTTTGAAATCACCTGTGAAAACATGGCTGCCTTGTTGTTGTTTTTATGTCATTGTTAGGGTTAGACACTAATCCCCATTTAATTATCGTTCAAAACAATAGATTGTATCTGAGAGGGTCCAACCTTAGGTGTCAAGAAGGAATCTACAGCAGTTCTCTTTGGAGTCTCTTCTAATGGGGACAGATCTCTTCCAGCTCTCTTTGAGTCTTGTCCTTTGTGATGAGATCTCAATTGTCTGCTAGAGTACTCAAAGAGATTTATCCCTCTACTAGTTAAGAAGTCAGGTCTGCTTTGTTAGGCCACATTGACAACCCTCTCTGAACCGTGATGGTGGTAGATTCTGTCTTCCCGCCACTTTTGATTCATTCCCGGTGTCATCACATTTACTATTATGCCATTTTGCTACGTAAGCCATTTTGTTCAGCAATGGTGGCTACAAGTGATAGTGAACACTCCTTTTTTCTTCCCTTGAAACCCAGAAAACATGCAAAATGTCATCAAAACAGCAATTTCTTCAGTCTCTTATAAACTTTAGACTTTATCTAAACTTCATGACTGTCTTACTTGAGTGGTAACAGAGGTTACAGAAATCTGTGGTAACGTAGTTTACAGAACTCTCCAAACCTGCAGCTATAATTTCTTCCAAGTCATCAACCAAACCTACACCTAGTGTTGTGGTACAGTTTGTGAAACATAGTAAGTGTAGTGGGAAATTGAAGAAAGCAATGATGAGGTCTGTGATTTGACTCGTATCTATTTGTAAAGAGTGGTGACAGTATTTTGCACATTTGAATGAGAAGGAGTGGAAAGTGACATGGATCGAGCCTCCATAGCATGCCAAAAAATGGGGGTTTTGGGGGTCTTCATGGTCTTTGGGAGCGATTATATGCTATTTTTTGATTGCAAATAGACAACATAGCCAGCCTTTTTTTAATTACCCCCATTTTTTTAGAACTGGGCTAATCAGAAAATAGCCGAAGACCACCAAACCCCCAGTTCTATAAGCCTGGAGGCTAACGTGGATCCCTGTAAAAGTTACAAATGCAATGTTGTTGTCCTGTATGTAGATCAGTGCTGGAAGGCTGTCCCCATCTGACCTCCCTGAACCTGACATCATGTCGAGCCCTGCCCAGAGGCATGAAGCAGCTGTTTGGAGAACAGGCCATCGCTGACCTCAGGAGACAAATATGCTAGCTTTAGAAATGTCCTGTTCTGTAAAGTTCAGAACAGTTATAAAAATCTGATTTAATTAAAGAAAAAAAATCACCTCCAACGAGGCCCTGGGTGCCATTCTCCGTAGTCCATGTACATGTGTAGCTAGCAACAATATGGAGCCGGTGGTAACTACGGAGGATGGCACCCAGGCTACCGAAGCTCCACGGAACTCAGTACAGTGCCGACTCATAAATGCCATGAAAGGCCAGCTTGTCAAAAGGTCCAGGAGTCCAGGACCCTTAAGACCAGTCAGTTGGTAGCACATGAAACCTCACTGTTGGTCTCAAAAGTGGAATGTATAGAAACGTACATGTACATTTAACTCAACAAAAATTACCCATTCTAGAGCTCAAAATACTGGGTGCACATGCACCTTGGTGCATGTAAAGTTGGAGTTGTGCAGATATTTATCATGTCTACCTGTACCTAACCTGCACTGGTCCATGTACTGGGTATATGCAGGTTAGTGCAGGTAAAATTGGGGCTGTGCAGGAATTTCTTATGTCTACCTGAACCTAACCTGCACTGGTCCATGTACTGGGTATATGCAGGTTAGTGCAGGTAAAATTGGACCTGTGCAGGTATTTCTGATGTCTACCTGCACATAACCTGCACTGGTGCATGTACATTGTTGTACTGGGTATATGCAGGTTAGTGCAGGTAAAATTGGAGCTCTGCAGGTATTTCTGATGTCTACCTGCACATAACCTGCACTGGTCCATGTACTGGGTATATGCAGGTTAGTGCAGGTAAAATTGGAGCTCTGCAGGTATTTCTGATGTCTACCTGCACATAACCTGCACTGGTCCATGTACTGGGTATATGCAGGTTAGTGCAGGTAAAATTGGAGCTGTGCAGGTATTTCTGATGTCTACCTGTACCTAACCTGCACTGGTGCATATACTGGGTTTTAAAAAAAAGTGTGTGTGGATTTTTATATGCTGCATTGACAGTTACCACCTACAAAAACGCATGACAAAAATAATGGCAATAGTTTCTGAACAGTTTTTAGTATGATCCAAAATTTATCTGGTGCAGGTAATTTAAAAAAAGTATTTCAGGCCCTGCTTTTATATGGTCAAGTACTAACTAATTAGAAGAAATAGAAGTACAAAATACAAAATAAATCAAACAATTCTACCTATGAACTATAAGTTACTTTGTAATTTATGATAGTCTACTACAATTGGGTGGGGCCAGTAATGTATTTGGTATCTTTTTTAATATGAATTATCACAAATTATTCATTATTGGCAAATGAACAAAGGGTACCAATAAAGAAAGTGATACTGTATTACTTTTGTCGAAATGTTATTTAATAGCTATCAGGCTTATGACCTCAAAATTTGAAAGTGAAAGAATCTTGTGTTCTTTTGCGCGCCATGTCAAAGTTTTCATGACCCATCGCATTAGATTTGGAGTCTGCGGAGGGTGTCATCCATAAAATATACTTGCCGTGGCCTGAGACAACCTCCTTCATTGCCTTTCTCAGGCCACGGGAAGTAAATTTTATGGATGACATCCTCCGCAGACTCCAAATCTTATGCGATAGGGCAAAAAGAAACCAGGCGGGCCAAAAAAACAAGGTCCTACATTTGAAAATTTTGACTCAATCATTGTACAAATGGTTTTGATTTAACGTTAGTCATATATCACACATATTATTACTGCTTCAAAGTAAGAAACAAAACATTAAATCAGAGCCTTTTCTTGTCTCCTTTTCTTATCTGCCATCCACCTTCCAACATGGCTACAGACATCTTTGCCCATTTTCGGCATGTTGACCACTGTCAGAAGGCAACAAAATTTCTTGTTTCCTTTTTTTTTCCCAAATCAGGCGAAAATTAATCCGCGCGCTGATGTCACCATAAATATTTTACTTGCTGTGACCTTAGGTGACAGCAAAGTAACGCAATTTTTCCTGTTCCAAAACTATAACACGTTGCGTTGCTGATATCCAGTAGATGAACTAGCAGTTTTCAAACAGCTGTACTCTTGCGTTTGTGTCGGAACAGTGACGGAAACAACGTACGAAACGAAGAAAAACATCGTTTGTTGTCACTTCCGGGTTTGTTTCACCGCCACCCCTCTGTTGCGTCATCATGGAACAGTCCTGTCACCACGACGCCAAATGCCGCCATGTGATTGGTCGATCCAATCAGGTGACCGAGTTGTAGCAACAGTCGCTAGGGAAACAGACCACGCCCCTTCACGGCTACACAACAGTGGAAAACATTGGGTAGCGTGCGACTTGATAAGCGGTGCGATCTCCAGGTCTATTAGAAGGATTTTCTGCGGCTCCTGGGCGTCCAAACCACGAGGAACAGGTGTACAACATGGCACAGGACCGGATAGGACTGTACAGGGATTCTATGAACGAAAATCCGCTTTTGGCCAAGGTAAGAGCAGTCTTTTTTGTAAGATTTCTACACCATGTGGTAACCAGACCGAAGCGATTCAAGTGCCCTTAATTTAAACCAGAGTGCTCGCCTTTTCTCAGCCCAATTGACAAAACCTCATCTTCGCTGCACTGCGTTTACGAATTTGTACTAATTCTGATATTTTTGTCCATCTGTGACGTTACAATACGACGTTATTCTATTGTTGACTTTCAATTTTTGGTTGATAACACTGAAATTAGGGGGAGGGGGGTCAGTTGAATGGTCTTCTCTTCACCAATGTTTACCGTTCAAATTAATTCCACCTCAAGCCTTTCCATTTGAAAAGTGATGTCTTTTGGAAACGCTCAATTAATGGTTTTCTTTTATCCGAAAAAAAAGAAAATAAGGTTACTTTAATGATTGCAAGAGTTAAAATAGTGATTTTGATGTTTGTTTTGGTTGTATGTTGTTACTGTATCATAGCCACCAAGCGATGAAAGTTTTCCCTCATATCAAGTTACCAGATTTTCTGTATAAATAAAAACAAGTTAGCCCTTATTAGTTAGTAACTACAATTTTAAGACATTTTGTACTTCTATTTTGTAGTTGACATGTATTTGTGTTAATAAACGTGCTAACATGGAAGCAAGGAGCTTAAAAATCTTGAATCTAGAAAAGGAAACAGAATGTTTGGCAAAGGTCATGCCACTATCAGTGGTCTGTAGGTGTTTCTAAAGAGAATGAACTTTCTTCTAAAAAAATTCACAGGTTATATTTAAGTAGTCCTGTTCTGACTTTGTTACAATATAGAATGTGAAGCATCTGACACTCATCTCATTTGTAAAATGTATTTTTATTTGCCCCACAAAAAAAAAGATTCTTGGTCAAACAGAGAATGAAAATTCCAGTAAAAATTCATTAAAAAAACTATTGGTTGCTTTATGTGCAAGTAGATGGTTTTAATTGGGCTATTTCAAATGCTTCAAATATAAAATGATGTGATAAAAATTTGGTAAGAAAAGGCATTAAATAAATATCAGACAGATTTTCTCAATCCAGAATATTCTTTGTTTTGTTTTGTTATGCGGCCCTGAAATGGCGTTGGATACCTTTTAATTGGTAACATTATAGGAAGTCCTTTAAAAGGCGTTGAAATGCACGGAGTACCGCTACCAAAGGGTTCCTTGGGTCCGCGTGAAAACGAATCCGACTTCTATCCTAACATGGCCGGACAAGCGTGCGTTGCGGGGCATTGGATACAAATACCGTCTTTGTTTGGTCGAAGAATAAACCATTGCAATGTTTTGTTTGGCAGTATTGACATCTAACACTTGACTCCACAACACCCAAACAAGTCCACTCAACCTCAATGGCAGTGTTATGGTCCTGTTTTGGACTCAAAGGTCTCAATTTTGAAGATACCCCCTGGCTAGGTAGGCGTGAGGTATATTTTTCAGGGTGGGGTCTGTAGAGTCAAAATTGAACACCTGTTCAGTATAAAGTGTTGCTATGATACTATATTGTCCCCAGTAACTACTTGACCTGGATTTTGCAATTACATGTTTCATATATTAGGAAATATACGGATAAAATGAATATTATATATCAATCAAGTGTACTGAGAGATCAAAATATATTAGTAGAGCAACCCAATATTTGTTATGAGATCCCCGATTTAGAACATGTATTGCTCAACTACTGTAAAATATTGCTTCGTGTGCCCAGAAACTCTGTTAATGCTGCTGTAATGGGCGAGCTAGGAATTTTCCCATTGTACATAGAAACTCAAACGAGACTGATTAAGTACTGGTTAAGATTAAATAACATGTGTAATAATAGAATTGTTAAGAAAGCCTACGATACTGCTGTTGTACAAGAACACGATTGGGCTTCCCATGTACAAGATATATTATGCAGACATGGTTTTCAAAATACTTGGCTTAACTGTAATGTAGACGCCAACTATTTTGGAAACTTGTTTAAGGAACGACTCAAGGACACATTTCTTTCCAACTGGAGACAAAAGATAAGGAGCTTCAGTAAACTCGAGACATACTCCAAAGTCAAGAAAACCTTTACCATGGAGAATTACCTCTCGGTGATCCGAAACAAATCCTTTACATCTAGTATTACAAAACTGAGAATAAGTGCCCATTGCCTAGAAATTGAGAAGGGTCGTCACAAAAAGATACCAGCCGAGAAAAGAATGTGTCCTGCCTGCAAAGACAAAGTTGAAGATGAGTACCATTTTGTAATGATATGTCCATACTATAACGAAGAAAGGAAAAAACTAATGATATCATGTAAAAATAAAATAACACTACCTGGGACAAGTAGAGAAATCTTCAACATATTGTTATCATGCCCCGACTCTGTATCTGTTTGTTTAGGCCAATATATACATACTGCTATACAAAAGAGAAACCTTGTCACTGCATTGTGAAATGTAACATTCCATTAGAACATATATACATGCATTGAAGTTAGATTAGTACACTAGTAGAAATAGTTTATAGTTATTAAATGTTACTTGCCATACATTGTATCAAATGCAATTGTTGCGCAATAAACTTGACTTGACTTGACTTGACTATATTAGGTCGTAACAGTATCATTTGTTTATTTATCCTGCAAAAGTAACAACAAAGTGACAAACAGGCACAGATCACGTTAACTGGCTGTCACCAAGGTGACATACTAGCTGTTACCACATCAATATACCTTGTAAACGAGACAAGTTTTAAGTATTTAAAAAAACTGTGACAGTAACAAAGTCAGTTGGCAACTTCCCAATTTTCTAGTGAGTGAAGTAAATTGTGAAAAGGATGTTTTACCAAATTTGATTTTCCGCTTTTTAACTCGTGGACAATGGGACATCATGCCATTCCCACCCAAATCTACCAGTTTCCCATGCAATTAAGACTAAGCCACACCGACTTAATTTTATGGATGACATCCCCGTGTGCATTGCTTTTTGCCTGTTCTCAAAAAAAAATAAAGATTGCGTCCTGCGAGGCACTGTCCTGGCCTTGAAAACCGTGACCGTGAAAACTGAGAACATAGAAATACCATGAAAATAATCAGGAATTACAGTTCTACAAAATGTATGCATTTGAATATATGCATTACTTCTTATAATTGTACATTTAGATTTGTTAGAATTTAGATTTAATAAGATTTTGTCAACCAGCAAAAAACAGAGGTTATGGTCTGATAAATATTTGAAGACCATATTATCGATGATAAGTGTCCTTTTATATTACATCCGTCATGCATCATTTTTCCTTTAATAACAAAAGAAAAGCTTTTTATCTTGCGAAGTGATAGATCACATGTTGAATTATTGACGAACAAGCCATGAAAGAGTAGCTTACTTTCCATAACAACATAATTTTGTCATTTATTTCCATTTCCTGTTGTTAGGGAGCAGTTTTCAGTCCATAGAAAACCACTGAAAAAAAAAACCTCAAAGAGTTTAAGAGGAAGAAAGGAGTTAAGATCCTGGTTTACTACAAAGACCCCTGTGCTTTTTTTCTTTTTGAAGTCCTTTCGCTTTTTGAGATCAACCCTTTTTTTTTGCATGATTAGGTTTCTAAGTGGCAGACTGAAGTGTTGTGAAGTGTTGAGCTTGGTAATTGTGTAGACCAAATTTTCCCTCTGCCAACCATTGTCGGGATAAGCATCATGGGATACAGTAAAGCATCATGGGAAGTTGCCATGGTAACAGACCAGATGTGCTTCAACATTGAAAGGGCAGAACACACCTGGAAAATTAGTTTTACTATGTAAAACTTATAGACTTAGAGGTAAATATAGCTAAATGGGGAAAGAAAGGGCTGGCTGAAGTGGAAAAGGCTTGAAGTGGTTGCAGTTGAGTTGTTGGTGAGAATTTTGACGACAAGAGTTTTTCCACAGTTGAAGAATGCCTTCTGAAAGAGGCCCGTACAATGGTACAGAAATTGATGTTTAGAACTAAAAATCCATTGAGTTTTGTTCACAAGATGAAATCATAAGAACTGTTAAAGTCACACCTGGTCCAATTTGATTTGTTAGTTCTCAGATTTTTTTTAGAAAAGATAGAAAAGACTAATGACAAGCCAGGCTAATTAATGATTTATCTTTTGATCAATCTTCTATTCAGAAACTATAGAACAGGTGCATGTATATAGAACTAACTGTCAGGGCTAATAATCTGTCCAAATGCAACTGCAAAAGCTGGCTTTTCATAACTTCTTTATTCTGTCACAACCAATATTGTTCTAGAATTATTGGATCATGTACATGCACAAATGGTATCCATCACAATTTAGCTTGTCAGAGAAAAGCAGACTAAAGCAAAGTGTTTTATTTTCCCTTTATTAAGATGATGTTGATGAATGTCCATGTAAGTTCACATCAATGTTAAAGATTTTAATGGCATGTTATTGTAACATTAGAAGGTCATACAAAAAGTCAATTTTCTTGTCATTTCTTTACAATGTACATGAATGTTAAAATGTGCCATATAAATGTATTTGACTTTGAGTAAGAATAAACAGAGCAGTAGTTTGTTGGGCCAGACCATTTGAAGGTTTACAAACATTATGCATTTGCTTTGTTTTCTGTCTGTCCCTCAGTCTCAGCTTGGCAGACCACTGAAGCGAGGCTTCACCCTGCCTCCTGATGACTTCACATACGGCAGACCAAACACAGGGAAGGATGGAGGAACTGCAGAAGGTAACAACACTCACACTCACTCACTATACGGTTAATCATCTGTTGTTCCCCCTCTATGGAGGATTAGGCCACACCAATTTGACCAAATATATATATATGATAGCTAGAACCAGCCTACGATACAAAACAAGCAACTGGTTTCTGTCACTGATATTGCATTTTTGACTCACAGATATCAGATATAAATTAAAGAATGACCAAAAACTTGACTTTGAAAATCCAGTTTTGCAAACCTAAAATTGCATTAAATGGATGCAGCAAACTGAAGTAGCCATTTTGCTCAATTGCTCTACAGGGAGAAGGTTAATGAACACGTAGCATGTAACATTATTCCTACATTTGATCACTGAAAGTCCACAGTATACATGTATTTCTTACCCACACATCTAGCACAGTTGAAATTTCCTTGCTGTTCCACAACGATCCCCTAGGTGGCAGGTCAGAGCTATCAGTCCATCTGTGACATCTCTGCAGTTTGTTTTCCCACCACTAGAGGTCTCTTCTGCCACACTGGACAATTCCCCTTGCATTACCTTAGAGCAAAACTGTCCTTTAGTCACCCAACAAATCTTTTGCCCCTTTTTTTTTCTAGCAATAATTGTTAAACAACTGCAAGTGCCTTGGACCAAATAAAATCTAAAATTATGTTGTTGCTATAGTTTAATGTAATGTTATATCAAAAAAGTTTACTCCTATAAAAATACATTATTCCTCCCATTAGTCACCTGTATTGTAGATTGTTTTATTGCCTCAATTTTATTATCTCAATTACAACCTACAAAGTAAAAAGTTTGTATCAAAGACTCCCCTGAGACTGCTTAAAATGGTACAGCCCTACTTCACAGGTGGTTGTGAATTGGACACCTGTTTCAAAACCAGTTTTTATTATGCTTTTTGTGAATGGAGTAAAGAAATACAGCCAATGCAATTTCAGAGCAGTCAAACTGGGTTTTCAAAACCATTCTTTTTACTAGTAATGTCACAGTAGTAGCTTGAAGTTGAATCAATCCTATTCAATAGCATACTGATACTGTATCTGTGATTGGAACACCCCCCCCAAAAAAAAACAACCCAAGGCAATTCTTTATATTTGGGGTACCACCCATAAATAGCTAGAACCAGGCTATGATAAATCAATCAATCAAGCCGCAGGCATCAGAGTAGATGCATAGCAGCTGTAGCCATGTCCCTCCAGGATGTTCTGTTTTCCGCCATTACTCTCCAGTCTGTTCTGCTGACCCCCAAACTGTCCAGCACTCAAGGCTATGACACAAAACAAAAAATGGTTTTCCAACAGTCACATCACATTTTTACCTCACAGATACCAGTATGCTATGGGATAGGGTTGATTCAACTCACTACATTAAAACAATGACCAGCAAATTGACTTAAAAAGGAAAATCTTGTTTTACCGTCCTGAAATTGTATTGGGTATACTGAGGTCTTCTCCCGATCAAAAGTGGTGAGAAATGACATCACCCTTAGGTCATTCTTCTGGCATGTCTTCATTTGTACAATTACTGTCCTTTCAAATATCACCGGCTATTACAACACTTAACGGCCGGTACCAAAACTATTTAACCAAATTGCTCTCAAGTCGTCTCTCCCTAATTAAAGACCACGTTAAGTAAATTAAAAGGTTCTTAAACGTCGAGTGTTTCATCTGACACAAAGGTTGCCCGTTTGCGGGTGAGAAAAATTGTTGTGATGTGAGATCACTAGTCAGCTGGGTTGTTAGTGAATGAGTGGACAATCTTTGTAAGTAGGGGGGAGGGCATAGTGTCTACTGTAGTGTGCATCTCTCAACCTGTGTTCAAGAAATTATACACTGTCTTACTTTTATGGTCCGAAATTACAGTCTTTGTTTAGTTCAGTTCCTAATCGTTTTCATGAATTATACACAAGCTTTTAGGATCTTGTTCAAAAACAACCATAAGAGAAAAACTCATGAGCTAACATGCTCATAATCTAATATGTAGACGTAACATTTAGACTGAGAACAATTGTTTAATTTCATAAAATGACTTTCTGTTAAACGTTCAGTACTGTCAGAAAAAGATATAGTACCGGAACACACAGTTACATATGACTTCAGCAACTTGGCATTTCAAAATGGCCCAGCTTATCTATTTAGTAATGCATTCTTGTCGTGACTTCAGAAACATTTCGGAATCAGCAAAGAAAAATGTTGCCGCCTAACATTTTTCTCTCTGTGGATATGAGCATCCACAAAACGGGGGGAAGCTATTTACTGGACGGTTAACTCTTCAAGGAAGTGTTGCATGGAGAACAGGCATGCCTGCCATTGCAAGTTGTATGTCTCCCATCCCCCAACAAACCCAAGTTGCATTTGAAAGGCAATGATGCTTGCAATTGCATGTTACAACCCTCACAACGCAACAAAACAAGCTATGTTTGGCAGTCAACGGTATTTGCTGCTTATTCCGGAGTCTGGACTGTTTTCTTTGGCAAATTTCTGCCATTCTAAAATTGGTACATACTGACGATGCTCAGAGAGCCATAGATATTGTCCTCCCTCTCTCAACCATGAAGCGTTCAAAGGAACAGGCATTTGTTTACCGCATACGCCACGTTACCGGGATTGCGTAGGTTTTCGTGTCAGCCATGGCAAGTTAGGCTTCTAATATGACGTGGACGCGGCTAATTTGAAAAGAATCGGTTTCCTGACTCGTCTTTTCAGCCAGGCTGAAGTTGAGTATATTGTGCGGCAAGTTGAGCGTAGACTCCTGTCAAAGGGCGTTTGCACAAAGCAGAAAAGGAACTTGGATAAGCATTTTGTTTGATGTTCAGCACAGTTTCATTCCTGTGTTTCTCTATCCACCCATTTTTCAGCCTCTGACAAATTTGTCTTCCAAAAAAAGCATAGCCACACCATCCTGTGGTGTAAAACTGTAGAAAGTTCTGGACATCGCTTCCTTCAAGCGTAAAATTGAACGTCAAACTTCACGGTTCCTTTATGTCCTAATTGTGTTTGCCTTCACTGGAGCGTAAAAACTCACAGCGTAAACTTGACCATGGATGGTTTGGTGCTTAAAGTCGGCGAGACAAAACTATGCCAGCTGGTTCAACGGATGATCGTCGCTTTCCAAACTGTCACCGCGTATTTCGTTGTCAAGCTGGGTGAGGTTTTTTTTTGAAGATGACATGTTGCCTTCAAAACCTGGCCAATATTGCTTGGTACATATTTTACTACAATTTGCTTAAGCATCAAAATTGCAGCATTTTAGTTTGAGAACAAAGTTGGACGATTTTGGATAGGAAATCCGGTGGTGTTCTCAAGTTAGCCATGATTTGGCAGTCTCCCCACCTGTTAGCCTAATTCTTACACCTCAAAGTGCCGAAAGGCCAAAAAGTTTTTCTGACAAATCCAGCGGTATTCTGCTGGAGACTTTTTTCCAGGCGATTATATAAGTGTTCCCTTTAATGACATCCTACAAGTCGGTGCAAATAGATTCTCCTTTCAGGGACTTGATCCTAAGTTCTTCCGCACGATTTGTGGCGTGTAGTTTAGGTGAGACATTGAATCCTGTGTGCACTTGTAATATCTGAGCCCTTTCAGGGCCTAACTCCCCATAATTGGCGTATATAACATCCAGGTCTTCTGGTACATACCACATGGCTTGCATCACTTTGTTCCCATTGTTTGTCTAAGAGCTTACATTTTCTTTGAAACGGGCAGAAAATGGCGGCCGTAAAGAGGTACAACCTGAAATTACCACACCTCCGCCTGATCTCCTTAAAGACTGTTATTTCTCAGTGTCGGCTGCCAAAGATGGCGCGTAAGCTACCAACTGGATCGTACCTTCCGCCGCTTACACCTACAATGTGTCCAACACTCAAGCTGGATTTTCTCCACAATAGGAAGGGTTTACCAACTTGGACAATGGAAACTCAATACCCCATTGAAGCTCAATAGACAAAATGGGTTGGGATTTTTCTGTGTAGCAGTTTTCAGATCAACGTACATGTACTAAGTGTTCAGTGCTCAAACTATTGTACAACAGGAAATGTGTCAGACTACTTACTTGGTGGTTAGATCATGATCACAATGCAGATCAAAGAGCCTCAAACCTCACAAAGGAAAGTAGAGCAGATAAACAAAACTGCAAAAAGATGTAAGAAATACACTCGGTTGTCAATGGTTCAAAACTTTAAAACAGTACAAGATTGGGCTTTTGAATAACTTCAGAAATTTGGAAATTTCAAAAATCATCATTCTCTTATTGTCTGCGACTTGATTTTTACAGCATCAAGACTTACTTTTTTCATTATGAATATTTGCTTTAATTACTTCATGATACTTTGTAAGTGAAATGCTTTGATTTCTTTTCAAAATGGACAACAAAATGACACCAATTGAACTTCAGAATTGAATTTGAAAGGTATCCAATGCAATTTTAGGGTAGGAAAACTGGATTTTCAAAGTCAATTTTCTGGTCATTCTTTTGAATTAGATGTTACAAATGTACAGTCAGGTAAGTTGAATCAACCCTGCCCCATAGCATACTGATATCTGGCAAACATGACATGTTGTTGACAGAAAACCGTTGTTTTTTTTATATTATAGGCTGGTTCTAGCTTTATATTTTATGGACAGTGCCCCAAAAAATAAAGAGATGCCTTGCGTACATGTAGCTTGTTTTGGGGCTATCAAGCTCTTCAACGAAAAAGAAACGCAGTAAAATGACATTGTCAATATCACACAGATTTCCTCATCCAGACTATTTTTTGTCTTGCTACCTCGAAATTACACTGGATGCCTTTGAAAATTCTTCTTCACTGCTTGAGTTTAGGATGATAGTTATAGTACATGTAGTCAGTGATCTAACAGGTGGCCGCCATTTTGTTTTGCCAGCCATGGGGAACTGGAACGCGGCGCTACCCTCCATGACGTCCAAACCCGGCGAGCAAAAACGGGAGCGTGACTTCATCAGCCTGAACCGTGCCGCCATCAAGGCCGGCCTGGTCACGTCCGGCGAACACTACCACTTCCGCGCCAACCACGACATCCGGCGCAAAATGTCGCCCAGCGAGAACAAAATCCGCACCAGGCGCATTCCTCCTGATATGACCTTTGGCATTTCCACAAGGTGACTTGGATTTTACAGACAATTATTAAAGTCATTAAAAATGATCAAATTCTAATATTTTGTCATGTGTATAGTCACTTTTAGTAGACTGGTCATCAAAGTCAAAAAAATACCATGTCAACAAAATTAACTAGAAAATTCATTACAAATTTGATACGAAATGAGCAGACAAATAAAATCATAACTGTACCATTCCTATAGCTTCAGGTGCTCCTTTGCAACCTGATTTATGATATATATACGCTATATTATAAATATATTATAGCATAGCTTAGCATGTACATTGTACTTGTAGAGGTGTACTACATGTAGTTCTTAGTTAGTAGTTCTATTCAACATTCTGCCAGGCCCATTGAACCTATATCGATAGACCCATCCCAGTTTAAGTAATCTTATTACATGTATCTGCCATACAGGTACATTGTACCTTCTACAATTGTTATGCAATAAACTTTGACTTGAATTTATAAAGGACTCTAACAGACTTTTCCCCTGGTTCCTCCCCAGACCGTCCACGCCTGTGTTTGACCTGTTAGAGCATAAGTACCAGGACCGCTGGCTGCAGCAGCGAAGGCTCACAGAACTGGCAAACCGTGAAAAGCAACAGAAAAAGGTAAGACTCCAGGAATTAGGGTAGTGGTTGTATTGTCACTAATTGGAAATTCCTTGATAAACGAACAAACAAAAAGGTAGCACTACACATTTCCCCCCTTGTGTTCATTCATTAGGCCACACCAATTTGATTTGTTGGTTCTCAAATTTTTTCAGAAAAAAGCAGCAGAGCGAAAAAATATCTTGAAAAAAGTTTAAGATAATATTTAAAAACAGGCCTATGCATCCCATGATAGCCCCAAATGCTATAATAAGAGCCATGAAGTCAACATACATGCACCAGGCTGGTCTATAATTCAAACAATGAATTTGAACTTTTAATCAAAGCTCTGCTATTTTTGATAGATGGAAATACTAGAAACAAATAGGAAGACAAGAACTTTCAAGAACTGTTGGGGACAAAATATATTGAGCATTTTGGAGTTTGTTCAGAACGTGAATCCTTTTTATAAAAAGAATAAGTAAAAAAATGAATCCTTACCTAACCATCACCCGTAATAGGAAACAACATTTTCTTTGACCAAAGCTGACTTTCGTTTTACTATTATGGCAAAGGCGTAATATCTAAACTGTGTTGTTGTTTCACATTGACAGATCCTAAACGGCAACATCTATGAAACAAGGGCCTCATTGTTGAGAAAGTACAGCCCAGTGGTGGAGCCACCACCCCTCTGGCACATGCCTCGCTTTGAAAGGGTAAGTTCTTGCTGCTTTAATACTTACGAGACAGAAGTAATATGAGATGGAAGTAATATTTTGGGTGGCACTGATTTCTGCTTGGTTTGTATGTTTGGGTTCCTAATAGTGAAAAGTTAACTATTAGTAATAAAACTTAAAATAAAAAATAAAAAATAATAGCAGATAAACAAACCTAATCCTTGATACCACAAACTTCAAAATATTTTAGGCTTATGAAAAATGTTGATTTAGAAAATATTATTATTGTGTATGATAGATGTGGCTCATAAAACATATAACCGGTAAGTAAGGACAAAATTCTTTTTTATCAAGTTGACCTGTGTTTAGAATTCAACAGGGAAGCACATGAAGCCACTGAATAATCGTGGAGCATAAACCACTCTCAACATTGCCCAACCCACTAAAGTTCAACAGCCGATTGAAAGACATTCCCTTACTTTGCTTTAAGTGCCGCCATCAAACTATATTTTCCCAACTTTAGGGCGCTGTGTTCTCCCAGTAAAAAGCACATTAACGGCGGGGGTTGCGTGCCAAGAAGGCTCGTTTGTGCACTTTATCCCTGCAAATGGCGTGATGTTCGCTTGTAGTTTGTAAAACGAACGACTCTCTCGCTTCTATTTGATGGCATCGGGCTGTATCAATGACTTCTCACACTCCGAAGGGCCCTTTTCTCTTGATTTAGAAACAATTTGAGCCCGAGAGATCGGCAGTCACTAAGCTCTAATTTGCTCGCCACTAATTCAATGTTTGGTTATTACAGCGCGATGTCCCGAGTGCCCGATAAAAACCCGTACTAACATTCCATCACTGCCGTCAATTGATTGGGGTGTTGGCAGATCAGATGGAGGCTTGGGCACTTTATGTCGACTTTCATCGAGCCCAACCGTACCAGAACGAAAGGCTTGATAGATGGGGGAATAATCTAAACACACTTACTGGTCTCGCGATAAAAGCCGCGCGCCCGTCAAATATGCGTTTTGCCAATTTCGCTTCACGCAAGTTTGTGATCCTGATGCATATCTGTAGTTGGAAGCTCTCCCTTTGGAGGTGTATAATAGAGTTGTTAATGCCGTCAGCCCCCATCGCAGCACTAATGTAAGTACTCCAGATTGAACCATTCCCAGCGAGTCAAACTCCCCATCCAGGCTGGCAGTGTGATGGAGCGATAGGCTTCCACTCAAGAGATTAGCCGTAAACTAAGGAAACAACAAAGAAAAACTTTCCCTCTCCCCTGTCATCTAAAAACAATGAGAGAGATAGACTAATTATTTTCTCTTATGATCAAAACAAGAAGAGTAAAGTTACCTGCTTCTTGTCATCTAAAAACAAAAAAAAAATTTTAGCATAATTTTTTTTTCTCTTATGATCTCCAGGTGATATTTAACAGAAAGTAGACAATAGAGAAACTGAAAATTAGGGATAGCCAAGGACCAAAACAACAAATTAGAGTATACTTTCCTGCTTCATGTGATCTAAAAACAAACAAACAAAAATTTTCTCTTATGATCTCTAAATTATATTTTAAGCAAACATTCAAAACAAGAAACTAAAAATCATAAGGATTAGCCAGTATGTGATTTGATACTCTTAAATTAATGTTCCTCTTATGTTGGGAGAATATCATAGAAAAAGGTGGCAACAAAGAAAAAATAAAATATGATAGCCAAAATCATTTCTCTTATCACTGAAATAAAGAAGAAAATATTTCACATTAAAACAAACAATTGTCTAATTTTTCTGTCAAGATAATCAGCAAAATAGGGGGATAAAACAATAATCATAAATGATGAAAAGTGAATTAATCATAGCATTGTTATCCCTGTTCATGCAATCTTGTACATATTTGTCAGTGCTAATATTCAGTTTGCCATCATTAATTCACAAAGAAATAACAAATTACCTTGCCTTAGTTCGCAAGACTCAACTTCGAGTTTTCTGCCGAATTTCAGCAATCACAATGATTCGGCAGCGTTAATTGTTCCTCTGCTCAGTAATATAAGCCCTGCGTCAAGCTCATTGCTATGCCGTATGGGTTTTTAAAAGCACCCCAGGCGGTTGGTTAATTCCCTGTTGAACTCCTACAGCCCTACTAATGATGTTGGTAATGCACTTAGTCACGTCTACTCACTGGGGTATACATAATAAAGACATCACAATTTGATGATGAGATTTGAAAATGCTTGCAGAAGACAAATGTGTGCTGAGGAAAACAGCCAACAGGGCTGGGGAGAAGTGATCTGGAATTAATCTGTCACTGAAATTCTTAATTTGGTCTAAGTGATGTGATCGAACAGTTGCAGAAAAGCAAAGTTAGCTTTATTTGTTGTTTGAGTGGTCTAAAGATATGGAATATTTGAAGGAAAACATAAAGGCTACGGTTACGTACAAATAAGATTATTACTGCCGAGGTTGCTTTTCTGTTTTAATCAATATACATAGAATAGCAAAGATCTTCAAAAGAGTACATTATTTCTTTATCTTTTTAGGAAATACTGATAGAAGTGCACATGTGTGTCTTTAAAAGTAGCACTTGAGATTATCCTTCCAAACATCCAGTCAGTTTGAGAAGGTTAGAGAAGCGGGGGAATAAGTTGGCGCAGCCCGAGCGTACTTCATTGCTCGTAGAGGCCGACTCCGAAGACTTTTATCAGGCGTCATTATCGGGTGTCTCTCAATCAAGCAGTCGATGGCTTCCCTTAAAACATCACTGGGAACACTCTAAAGAACTTTCAAACAAGATGCCATCAGAAAATTGTTCATCTAAATTCAAATTAGGGAGACAAAGGTCCCCAAACACGTCTTTTTCTCGCCCGCGTACAAAGCCGGGTCGTAGACCTTCACGCCTTTAATGCAGTTTTAATGAAATTCCGGGATTTAAGTACGGTAACCGCTGCCACTTTCAATCTCGCTCCACGCCAAAATGGAACACCAGCGTCAATAATGGCGGGGCCGGCGATAGATCTTATCCGTGATTTGGATTTTTAGACGCAACGCAATTACCCTCAGAAGTGTGAAATGCATTAAAACTGGTCGTAAGTGACAGATATGGAGCTTTCCATCCATCGATATGGCCCTTGTCTGAAAGGAAACGAGAGTAGATTGCGAGCGGCGTTTACTCTAGGGGTTTACCCAAATGCATTAAGAGTTTTCTTATTCCATCTGTTTTCCGTAGGTGCACCCGCATTTGGAGACTTTCCGGTCACCAGAGGCGAGAAAATTGGCATTCCGGGCGCATTCTCACGACGCCACGTCTCGGACTGGAGTGTTCGGCCACGGAATCTACGCGGCGGCGAAGAGTTAAAGTCTTTAATTTCGCCAAATACAAAGTCGTTAACCTATTATGTATGGTTATTTCTATTTCACACATATCATCAGTGTATTAATCTTACAGATTATTCTGTTAGCAAAATCAAGTGCTGAACAAAGCCATGTGTTAATAATTCTAACTGCACTTGACTTTTGCTAACGTCTCAGTTTTATTCTACCCAGCAAAGTAAAATCTCTGTGCCATTTAATCATCTACATTCAGAATTTGCTGACGGCAAATTGTGCATGCTTTCAACAGTGTTACAATAAGGCCACACCGATTTAGTTAATTGGTTCTCGGTTTCGCTCGCTTCATTTTTTTTTCCGATTTGCAAAAAAACATTTTAGGTTCTGAATCAAGACCAAAATGTACATATTTTGGCCCCAACAGTTGAAGAAAGTCTATGCCTTCTATTCTTTGTTACAGTTTTTCCATCTATCAATGCAGTGGTTTGATTTCAAGTTCAAAATTCATTGAATTATAAACCAGCCTATGGCTCCTTTTGTAGCATTTGGGGCTATCATAGGATATGCCAAGGCCTGTTTTTTTCGCCCTGTTGTTTCATATTTTTTCTGAAAAAATCTTAGAACCAACAAATTGAATTGGTGTGGCCTCATCTGATGAGAAAAAACTTTTGTGGCTAGAGATTAGGTTTTGTACAATGTAAATGTATAATATGTTATTTTATTTTTTTCAATTCTGAACCCCCAACTACTTAAGTGATAATTCAGTCACATTTTGGGATCCATTCACATAAACACCATCCAAGAATCTATTAGACATTTCTTAAAGAAAATTTTTTTTTCAGAAATTGCCACTGTGCTTCCCAGATTTGTACCCATTTATGCCTTCAATGGTTTTGAATTCTTAACTTTGTCTCAAGACAATAACTTAAAGAAAGAATTACATATCTGTTTTTTTTTCTTGTAACAGTGGATGATATCTATTTATCACTGATGTTACTAGCCACATTTTTTTATTTCTTCATATTATATTGGAAAGAAGCTACCACAGGTATCTTGAATAAGATAGTAAACATTTTATACTACATTTTTAATGGTAGAAGAAAGTACTGAACACAACTGACTGAAAGAACATCTCAGTTTAACATCAGTGATACATGTATATCTCCACTGTTATATTGTTTGTACAGTTTATTTTGTAAAAGTACTGTTTGCTTGTACATATATGTCAACATTGTTATTATGTGTTTGCAACAATACAACTTTGCCCAGAGTGAAACAAAACAACAACAGAAATTAGAGGAACCTCTTTTTTTTAAATCTCGTGAATTTTTCTTAGAATTTACAAAGATGGTTGACAAGGGAAGAAGGTAGAACTGTTTTTGTTGCTGTCACATATATTTTGTGTGAGTTATTTGTGAATAAGTGCTGGATAGGTTGAGGTCAGAGTTGGCTATAGCTGTGGTCACCATGGGTTGTGTCCGAATAAATTTCTGTTGCATGTAAATGTGAACATGGCTGCTGTCTGCTTCTTTTACTGAATGAATGAATGAATGAATGAATGAATGAATGAATGTATGAATGAATGAATGAATGAATGAATGAATGAATGCCTTTTGGGCATTTTATTATGGTGCAAAAGAGAGACAACAAAAATACTCTATAGTGCAATACGTAACGTAAAGCTAACACCTTTTATTTCTCGATATTATGATCGTTTGATTATCCTTGTGAATACTCCACAACATATATTTTAATTATCATATCTTAATTAACATATGTAAAGTGACTTATTTCCGTGATTGTGTATTAGTGTGATATTGCTCTCCTACGGAGGAATAAAGAGAAAGGAGAAGAATTAATGAATGAATGAATGACAACCTTTATTGCACATTTTGCCACACTGGGCTTAGTACATGTCAAAACAAAACATGATGAAAAGATATATACAAAATAAAACTAGCTATCATTACATAAATTCAACTCACTTTCCAGTTATAGTAAAGATAAAAGAACATATGTTTTTCTATGGAAGGTTTGTCTAGTCTCCTTAGGAATATGAACTTTTCTACAGTGCTCAAGTGTATGAAGTAAGGATATACGTTTTGTACAAACCTATCTTACTTCATTTGAAGGAAGGAGGGCATACTGTAAATCAGTTTATGTTCACAGTAGCAAAATTTCACGGTCTGAGAGAAATGGACATGTTCACGGAACTATATGTTCGCGGTGGCGGCAGGTGCAGAAGAAAGCAAATTATTTGTTCGCAGTAATGATAAATTCGCGGTGCAGAAGAGACCGCGAATATAAAAGACCACAAATATAAAGTGATTTACAGTATTGCTTGTCAGTATTCTGATTGCCCCTGTGACACATTCACAAATTTGGGCTTGGGAACACTAGCCGAACGCCGCCCAACCACGGTTGGGAGTACGTTGGTGCAAAATCGGCTGTAGTTGGCTGGCGTTCAGCAAGCTTGACTACTATTCGGCTACGCCATCCGAATGTTTCAAAAAAGTGGCTGCCATTAGAACGTGCGATTAGACAGCCCCCCCCCCAAAAAAAAAACGGCAACCCGGGACGCCTGCAAAGGAGGCTAGAAACGCTAAAATGTCTGCGGCAGGAGGCTAAGCCACAGACCGACCCTCCCAGCGACCCAGGGAAACCAGCCGCCGGGCACTTGAAAGCCGGACTGGGGGATAAACAAGGCGACTAGATTGATGGTTTAATCAGCGGACGAAGACTTTACTCAAGCGGGTGCCCGGCTCTCCTCAGCGCGCCTAGATCCCTTAATAGCTGTTGAGGGAAAGAAAAGTGCTCAATTTGTCTTAGCGTAGTGGTTAGGAGGACAGAACGCTGCCTTTAATAGCTTCTTTTGACGGTGACAACGGCTTACCGGAGCACCATATGCGTGGGGTAATACCTTTAGGCCACTCTGACTTCATTTTATGGATGACATCCAGGCACGCAGTGATTTTCGCCTGTTCTCCATTAAAAAAACATCCTCTTTGAGGCTCTGGCCTGGTTGCCATCCTCCGTAGTCCATGGTAGCTAGTGACAATAGGGAGCCGGTGGTAACTACGGAGGATGGCAGCCAGGCTGCCGAAGCTCCACGGAACTCAAGAACTCAGTACTGTCACGGTTGGCAAAAGGACAGCATGTACCGGCTTGTCGTAGAAGTCGCTATGTACTACCGCAAATTCACAATACCAGCTTTGTATTTCTGTGGTTTAGCAGCGTTTTTTTTTTTGCCGGATTTTTTTTATTCGCCCGCTCGCGCTAGTTTTCAGGTCTCCCTAGTATGTCATCCATGAAATTAAGCCAGTGTGGCCTTACTCTCCCCGCCAGTTTACCCTGGCTTTAGGCGCGCGGAGTGACGTATCGTGCAATTTGACTTCACAAACGCTGCCGTTGACTAGAGAAGTTACACAAATACATCAAACTACTGGCTCGGAAAGTGGTGATTCTGGGCTGAAATTACCGACACAGGTGACTGGTGCTCACTTATCTCAACAACAAAAAATACTGAGGAAAGTCTTCTATTCTGTTACTCAAATACACAGACATTTTTACACATTGATATTTTGCATGTTTCTGGTATCCAGTTATTGTAAACATTACAAAATAATTGTAGGATAGATATATGTAAAGCTATTGTTTATTCATTGTCATACATTTCTTTAAAAAGTACGTTGTTGAGCATTGAAGTCGTTTCATTTATATCACTGTTGTTAGTATGTAACGTACACCAAACTTGTTCGCGAAGATAATCACTGCTTTTCACAAGTATTAGTTTCTGTCGATGAAATAAAATCTAAAACCGCAGTTAGAAAAAGTTACAAGCATTCGATGCAATTTCAAGGCGGCAAAACAAAAAAAATATTCTAGATGAGGAAATCTGTCTGATATTGACATTTACTGCACATTTTCGTCATTTTGTACTAATTGTTTGGAAATAGCCCCAAAACAAGCTACACGAGGCGTGTCTTTATTTTTAGGTACCACCCATAAATATCTAGAACCACCAGACGACACGTACAAACCAAGCTACCGTTTTCCGTCAGTGACATCACATTTTTGCCTCACAGATATCAGTATGCTATGGGATAGGATTCATTCAACTTACTCTTTCAAAAGAACGACCAGAAAACTGACTTTGAAAATCCAGTTTTGCAGTCCTGAAATTACACTGGCCGCCTTTAACGAACATGTTAGTAAAATGGTGCGTTCAGCACCAAGGACAGGGCCAATCATTGAGATATATGAAAGTTAGAGGAACAACATTCGTTGTTCGCCGTGCACATATGCTTGTAAAAAATAACTTCGTCAGACAAGAAAGGGGCATTTCTTCAGCCAGACAATACGTAAACCGCGTAGTTTACCTCCATTTTGTTATGGAAAGGCTTTGTTTTTGACAATTTCTACCGGTAAATATTATTTATTTTACGTCGGTGAAGGGTAGACATCCAGGTAATAAGATACACAAGGAAATTATTACTCGAGCAACTGGATAGATTTTGAAAACTGTAGTGGATGCTACTTGAAACGTCTGATAGTTTTTTGTTGTTCGTTCGTTTGTTTGTTTGTTTGTTTGTTTTTGCAATTTATTTATTTATTAGTTTGGCAGCAACAGCCAGGGTTACCCAACTAGTCGTAGACTATTATTAAGGGTCAACCCTGGAAAAAAAATGAAATCTTTAGGCATACATACAAATATAATTAATAAGATACACGATACATACGTTATATTATTAGAACAATATGTACATAATTATATACAAATTATCAGAACTTATATACAATAATAGGGTTACTAACATTGGTTTCCTAGTATATACATAGTTACCGAGGTAGTGATATTGACAAAGTTTACCGTATTGCCACACGCATATTTCAATACCTATCCAGTTGCTTGAGTTACAATTTTCTTGTGTATTATTTCTTTTGTTTGCTTTTTACAACTTGTGTGTTAAATTCATTATTGCACTGCTTTCCATCGTTGTATTTCAATTTCTACCCAGAAAAAAATATCGAGCTCATTTGTACGTTTTGTAGCTAATCGGTGTATATTAATAATATCTTTCTCTACTCTACACTAACGCCTAAGGCCATGTTGATTTGATTATATGGATGACATCCTCTGGGAACCCCAAAACTGATGCGAGCGTGCGAATAAAAAAAAGTTTGGCTAACAAAAAAAGTTCCTTTCATTATGAAATCTACGTGGTTTTGAAGGTCTAACAAATGACACAGAATATGGTTTGGCGAATAATCTACTCTTCAAATTCATTTCTTTACATTTTCGTCTTTTTCTTTGATTTTGGCATTCTACGACATTGGTATCGTTTTTTAATGTTTTCTTTTCAGCCTAATTTATATATTTGCTCATTTTGCAGCTGTTTTGTACGATTTACAGTATGGTTGAAAACTTTTTTTTAAAACGGCCGAAAATTCATGCGCGCGTCGGTGTCATCCATATAATCAAATCAACATGGCCTAACCATGGTTGGGGGCGTTCGGGTAGTATTTTGGGATGCCAAATTCGTCGTCAATGGCTTTAAACACGTGGTTCTGAATCATGAGACATTGGCTTTAGCGTGAACATGGCAGCCGGCCCACTGAACTCACTACAGCAGTCACGACGTTTCTCTGTTTTGGCTCTGCCGTGAGAGTTCTATTTTTGCCGGTCGATTTCATACATGTATGGAAGGAAAAACACACAGCCCAAGCGGAAGGAATCAAGGAAGTGGTCTTCCACGTGGCCAAACAGTGATACAGTTGTTTACTTTTATTAAAATAAAGTTAAGAACGTATTCGACCGTGTGCGTTTAATTTGTGGAGTGTTTAATGGTTTGCTGCATTTTCTTCTTTTTTTTTGTTTCAGATAAGCTTGGTACAAGCTTGGTGCAGGGAGTTTTTTTTTTCAATTTCTTCTGTTGTCCTTAGATGGTTTTTCTTCCAGTGTCTTGAACCTCTGAACTAACCCTTAAAGGTATCCAATGCAATTTCATGGCGGTAATTCTGAATAGGGCAATCTGTATAATATTAACACATATTTCGCCACATTGGAACTTTGCATCATCATTTCATACTTTGAGCGTTTAAAAGAGTGCAGAAACAACCCCCAAGATGAGTCCTTTATTTTCTGGGTGGTACCCCAAAAATCAGCCCAGGATCCTAGTCTCTACCAGACTAACTACGCTGGCTATATATAGGAGAATATGCCAGGGGAGTTTGGCCGCCTTGTAGGTTCGGAGGGAAAGAAACTACCTCCCCGCGGCCGGACTCCCTTGGCCAATTTTACTCTCTTTTTTGTCGAATTCCGTATTCCCGTAGAAAGGCCTGGTGGAGGCTGCCAGTAACCGTTTCTCTCACAATTGTTGGCATTTTTGCTACATGAAATTGAATGTCAATATACATTGGAACAGTGTTGTTTCAACTTGAAATGCAATGTATGCAGATTAGTGACTAGAATATTGACTTTGAAAAATCTGGTTTTACACCTTTTGCTGT